CTGCCAAAAAAAGTAAGTCTCAGGAACAAGACAGTGAAAGTCATCTGACTCCTGTGAGAAAACAAGACCAGAGAAGTAGAGGTATGTTTTCTTAATTTATAAGAAAATACTTTGACCAAGACAGGGAAACTAAGACAGAGCTTTCTAGAGAAAATCCCAGAAAAAACAGCCCCTGCTCTTCTCCACAGTTTTTAGACACTGAATAATTCCTCAAAGCATCTTCTGCATCTTTGCATTCAAAGAATGCACTAATATCAAGGAGAAGGTTTAACAAGAGTGATTGTGTGTGTGTGTGTGTGTGTGTGTGTGAGAGAGAGAGAGAGAGAGAGAGAGAGAGAGAGAGAGAGAGAGGAGAAATTGGGAGGCAGGGAGAGAAGGAGGAACGGAAGGATGGAGGGAGGGAGGGAGGAGGGCAGAGAGTATATGCTGAAGAAAGAATTTCTAGGGTGCAACATTGTAGAAAATCTAGTTCTAATTTGCAGTGGGTGAGCAACCTTGGGTTTCACAATATCTCTCACTAGTACCTTGCATTTGAAATGAGAGTACAGAAGTACTTTATTACATGGGTTTGATTAATTCTGTCTTCTAAAATGCAGCCATCATGGATCAAGACTCTGAAGTGAGAACAACACTGAACAGACAGGTAGGTCCTCCTGAGTCTTCTCTCTTCCACACAGTCTAATATACCTTTATTCTCTGCAAGATTATGTGTACACAATATCAGTTAACGTTTACCTCTTTCTAGAATCCTGAAAGAGAAGAAGTGCAGGAGGTGACATACTTAAAATTTGATCAGATGACCTTCAAACAAAAATTGACCATTCCCGATTCCCAGATTCCCAAGGAATTTTCCACAGATCCCAGTTTATACATGGATGTCAGGGAATGTTAAGCTGAGATGAAATATGTTCATCCATGAGTTCTCAAAGAAAGTTCTGAGGAAGACCACAGTCCTTTCTCCAGTAAAGACCGATAGATGCAGTGAAACAAGAGCTGGAATGTGAAGACAGAGGTCTCTAACTTTGGGACCATGCTTCATTATTGTAATATGATTCTGAAAGTGGCTTTCCTTTACTTACAAAGGCTAAGGTCCTTGCAACCTACTCAACAGAAATCAAACTCTTTTGCTTTGTTCATGGGTCTCTATTTCATTTCACTCCTGCAGACCTCTATAACCTGACTGGCTATAAGTTCTTGATGTACTTGAAGCTGTAACCATGTTGAGTATCTCACAATTGCAGATCAACAAGAGGCTCACTCTTTATTAGTGTATGTTACTAATATGTAATCATGTTATACAACACAATGGGTTTCAAAACAATTTCATATATATCATATTCACCCTCAGTAACCCAATCTTGTCTTTCTAACTCTGCTGTTAGAGTTATAATTCTGAAAGCCTACACTTAACATTGGGTTTTACCTTTTGCTGTACTGTGCACCCCAAATGCTGTATATCAAAGTCTTCTCTCACCAGACCCATCCTCATATTTCTTTAATATTTCAATGTATACATCCCCATTATTGAAACATTTTTAATACATATATATATATATATATATATATATATATATATA